GCCATTTCGTTGTCAACGCATCCGTCGCTTCTGCCCCCTGGTCGAAGTACCTCGTGTAGTACCTTGGCAGCTTGCGATTGTAAGGGGATGCGAACAGATCCAGAACAGGTAGTCCGAAATGTTCCGTAATTTTCACAAAAAGGTCGGGATGGAGAGACCATTCTCCCTCCTGTAGTGTCTGTCTGCTGAGCCAGTCCGCCTGCACATTCTCGATTCCCCGGATGTGTTCCGCCCGCAGAGAGGCGATGTTCCCCTCCGCCCAGAGGAGGATCTTCATGGCTTCCTTGTGAAGCCGACACGAGCGGGAGCCTCCTTGCTTGTTGAGGTGAGCCTTTGCTGCAATATTGTCTGTTCTCACCAAGACGTGTCGATCTTGTAGTTGGGAAGAGAAGTAGATTAGCGCGCGGCGAATAGCTCGCAATTCCAGTAGATTGATTGGAAGCGATGTCTCGACTGTTGACCAAAGACCCTGGACTGGGACACCGTCTAGAGTCGCTCCCCAGCCCACCAGACTGGCATCTGAGAAAAGTTCTTTGGGCTGGTCGATAAAGTAGGGTTTCCCTGTTGTCAGATTCCTCATATCTGTCGCAATTCCAGTAGATTGATTGGAAGCGATGTCTCGACTGTTGACCAAAGACCCTGGACTGGGACACCGTCTAGAGTCGCTCCCCAGCCCACCAGACTGGCATCTGAGAAAAGTTCTTTGGGCTGGTCGATAAAGTAGGGTTTCCCTGTTGTCAGATTCCTCATATCTGTCCACCATCTTAGGCTTTCTTTTACTCCGATAGGGACCTGTAAATTGATTGTCTGTTTCTGCATGATGCTGAACTGGTGTGGACGCAGGAACAACTGTAAATGTCTCGTATGCATCCGGCCCCATTGAATCATGTCTATGGGACCTGTAAATTGATTGTCTGTTTCTGCATGATGCTGAACTGGTGTGGACGCAGGAACAACTGTAAATGTCTCGTATGCATCCGGCCCCATTGAATCATGTCTATGCTCGCCACCATGAGACCCAGAAGACTGGCCAGTTCCATCAATGGAGACATCCTGTTGCGATAAACTCGTATTGCAAGGGTCTTGATCTTCTGTGCCTTTGCTTCTGGAAGATACAAGGTGGTTGTCCTGGTATCGATAATCGCCCCCAGATGTTCTACTCTTTGACTCGGCTGCAGGGAACTTTTTTCGATGTTTATTAAGAACCCGTGACTTCGTAGACATTGTAGTGTCCTCTCTGTATTGGAGATGGATTCCCGACGTGAACTGGCCCGGATTAACAGATCGTCGAGGTACGGGTGCACATGGATCCCCTGATCCCTGAGGTGACTCACCGGGTTGACCACGAGCTTGGTGAAGAGCCTGGGAGCCGTAGAGAGGCCAAAGGGCAGTGCCCGATACTGGAAATGCTGTCCATAAATGCAAAAACGTAGGTAGCGTTTGTGTGCCGGGTGGATCGGCACGTGCAAGTACGCCTCCGTTAGATCTATAGACGTCAGGAACTCGTTCGGAGAGAGAGAGTCCGCAATTGTTTTCAATGTCTCCATGCGGAAACGTCGAAGGCGAATGAATCTGTTCAAGAATTTGAGATCCAATATTGCTCTCCAGTCCCCGTTCTTTTTGGGGACCATAAACAGGATCGAATACACTCCTCCGGATTTCTCAGTGACCGAGGCATTGCCTTCTTTTTGTCCCTAGTCTCGACTAGAATGGTGTCGAGAGCGTCTCCAAACAAACGATCTCCCTGGAATGGGTATGCCGTTACTATAGATTTGGACTGTGAATCTGCTTGCCATGCCCGTAGCCAGAGCATCCTTCTGGCAACCGCAGTGGAGGCCAGACCTCTAGAAGCGAAAGATATGATGTCCAGAGTCGCATCGGCGGTGAATGAATCTGACTTGAGTGTGCGGCTGATACCTTCCAGGAGAGCCCTGTTGTTTTCAGGAACTAGCTGGATCAATTTACGCAGCCATACGATGGATGCCCTCGCCGCGATGGAGGCTGTGGAGGCCGCTCTGACCATCATGGCTATTGATTCGTGTATTCTACGAAGAGTAGCCTCTAGTTTCTTGTCTGTGGCCTCTCTGATGTTGCCCAATCCGTCTTCGGATACCAGGCCAGCTGTCTGGAGAGCTGCTACGGGAGCATCCACTGGAGACACCTGCAAAAGCTCATCTGCATAATTAGGCATTGCATACAGCTTTTTTGTGAATGAGGGAAACTGCTTGTTTACAACAGGTTTGTCCCAGCCAGATCTCAATTGACGTTCAAAGTATTCTGGGAAAGGGAATACTTTGTCAAAACACTCTTCTGGTGGGAAGAATTCTTTATTACCACCAGATTTGGACTTAATCTTTGCTCTGGCAGCCTTCTGATACTCAGAAGCGGGGATATCATGCAATTCCAGAGCCTTAATTGCTTTAGTCAGAAGGTACTGGTAGTCCTCTGATTTGAAAAAACGACTAGATTGTTCTGGAAGCCTTAACTCTTCCAACTCATCTTCAGACACACACTACTCGCCCTCCTCTCTTTCCTCCATGGAGGATGCATTAGAGTCTAAATCCTCCCCCCATTGTTCACCTGTGGGTGGCCTTGGAGGGGGAAGGGGAGCCTTCTTTGCCGCCTTAGTGGGCCATCCTAAGGGCGTCTGCAGGTCTAAGAGGGCGTCCCTGTCGGGATGGCAGCTCGGGCTTAGTAGCTTTGGAAACTTCCACCTGGATGGAACGTCTAATGAAGTCCATAAGTTCAGCTGGATCTACTAGCACCGCGTTCCGCGGGGGCTTACCCGGTTGCGAGCTGTCCTGAGGCGAGATCTCCGATGCTGGGGCAGTGAGATGACACGGCCTATCGCTTCCCGCGATGCCCGGATTAGCTCCCAGCAGGGGTCCAAGGCCCAAAACCGGATCCCCAAGATGGCCGCCGCCCGTCCGAGGACGGGAAGAAGAAAAGGCGGGCCCATCCGAATCACGCTGCAACCTGCGCTTCTTGGCGCTCCGCGCCGCCTTCGCCGCTTCTGCAGCCTCCTTCGCGGGCTCTCGATCAAGCTGCGAAAGCTGATCCGGCCCGATGTCTTTCCGCGCTGCCGGCGACGCGGCCAGCGCCTCTCCCTCGTCGTCCGAGGAGAAAACCTCGGGAAGCTCTCTCTCTGTCATGACGACGGCAGTTGAAGAGAGAACTCTTCGGCCAACGGGCCCAGGAGTCTTCGCTCCGAGATCGGAGCAATGAAAAGGAAAACGAAAGAGAAAGGAGTGAGAACAAGATATAGAGAAGAAATTTAAAGGGCAAGGTGAGGCTAGATTGAAGGGAAAAAGTTTTTTTAAAGGTTTTTGAAACTGAGGTAAGCTAGAGCAAGCTGAGCTATGCTGCTACTCCCTAGTGAGGCAGGAATAGAACTGCAGTTGGGATATTCCAAAGGCACCAACAGGGGGGGAAAAATCTACGTCCTGCCTCCCTATTGGCACGGTGGGAATAACCCATGCAGATGTCCTCCGCCTCAGAGGGAGAAAGAAAAAGAACGGGAGATTGCCTGAGGGAGGGGGAGAGAAAGAGGAAGAGATTGTGGGGGAGTAGAGAAATAGCGGAGAGAAAGAGAGGGGCAGACTGAGAGGGCGTGGGGAAAAGAGGACATTGTCTGAGAAGGGCTGGGGTAAGAAGGGATGAGACATACATGGGGTGAGAGGAGAAAGGCGCTAAGAATTACTAGGGAAGGGATAGGGAGGAAAGCTGACATAGAAAGAGTGAGAGGAGAAGGGAAGGTGAGGGAAGATTGGTAGATAAGGGGTAGATGCACAAAGAAAGAGGAGGAAACTTTGACAACCAAGGTGGGAGAGGGAAACAAAGGTGAGGGAATGCGCCCTCCCCCACAAGTTCGTTGCGAGGACTGCTGGCAACAAAGACTATGGTAGGGCCACAACACATTATGCAACATTTTGTTGCGGGTCCCCTCTTGTTTAACACTATTCACCAAACCTGGTAGGTTGTCCCATCTGATACTCACAGGGTCATCAAGCACCATTTACACCTGTAGTTCCCCTCATGTAAGCCCATCAAACTTCTCCCAAATCACTGTTCATCTCTGAAAAACCCATCACAGTATTGTTTTGGGGGCTAATATGTCATACTGCCCCCAGGGAGCATTTTGCCCTATATCAAGAGCACCTAGCTCCCAGTCCAGTGTGTGGGGGCCTGCTTCTTCTTCCTGTGAAATGTTGGCCATTTTGCTGCTGCCTCCATGGACCTCTATCTTCAAGACCGGTAAATATTTACACCCAGAAATTGCTTTCTCCCCTCTCCTGCCTAATTTCCTTAGTTAGCCTTGTATGTTTCTCTGTGTACGTATGTGTTTTGCCTTTTTATTTTTATTTTAAATAAAAAACCCTTTCTGGTGAACCTCGCCTGGTTTATTTTGAGAGTTTCCTTGCAGGAACAATCCCCATAAACATTGGTGGAGACCCAGTTACCGCCCCTATCTTTGTCTCCTTTATGCTAATTCCTTCCCCCCAATTAAATAAGAAACTGCCTCTTCAGGTAACATAAGCTGTTACTGGTCTTCTGACCCGCTTGCAGGGAGGGGTATAAATACAAAAAAAAAATACATTAAAGCATGCTGGCTGTAATCAAAACAATATAAACCATACCACTGAAGTAATATCCATGTCATTACTATATTAACAAAATACAAAACACTACACTTTCCAAGCTCTTTCATGTCATTCAATATCACTGGTATTGTATAATACAAATGATATAAAATTTGTTGTAGTGGTTAAGTGTGTGGACTCTAATCTGGGAGAACCGGGTTTGATTCCCCACTCCTCCGCTTGCACCTGCTGATGTGACCTTGGGTCAGTCACAAGCTCTGGCACAGCTGTCCTTGAAAAAGAGCAGTTTGTGTCAGAGTTCTCTCAACCCCACCCACCTCACAGGGTGTCTGTTGTGGGGAGGGGAAGGGAAAGGAGTTTGTAAGCCGCTCTGAGACTCCGAGTGAAGGGCGGGGTATAATCCAATCTCTTCTTCTTTATTTCATTATACACTTTCCACAGATTACTAGATGCAATGTGTGTGTCAGTTCTGACATTCATCTTGCTGTGATGATGTATATTCTCTCTGAAGTGATCATAAAGAATATGCCAAAATAGGTAAGAATTATACCTACCACATACAGAATATGCAAAATAATTTTTTTGTGTGTTTGTGACACACAATTTCTGTGATTTTGTTTTGGAAGGATTCTGAATAAGCAATGTGTATGGATTTATGTTTCAAGTGGAAACAGCTACCTCTTGCCAGGAGCAAGCTTCTACATACAAGTTTTGATTAAAGGAATAAGAATAAAATATTTATCCATAGGGATGTAAGCAACCTGGTAACATGGACTAGCTAAACTTCAAAGACAAAGCACAGTGAAACTACCTTCACCCAGTTCATCCGCACTACTGCAGCAGAGTCCAGAATACACAGTCAATATCCAAGACACAAAGTGATCTGTTCATCAGCACATGTCTCTGGGAAAGCAGGTTTGCTGTATTATAACAATGCAGTTACTGCATTCACTGGGCATGCTCTGAAACTGACTTTGGACAACAAAAATACAGGCTAATAATTACGTCCAATTCAAATACTTCAGATTTTTCCCCCTACTAGCCTCTACCTTGTCTTCACACCTATCCAAAGTACATATGCTGGCTACATTGATATGCACCAAGTTTCAAGTAGAACAGCTAAGTTTTGTGCCCAAATGTATCCAGCTGTTTTAATTAACCTTCACACAACTTTCATGAACGTCAATAATATCCCTCAACAGATATTTAAGAAACTGTCTCTTTGAACCGCTGCGAATCCCACAGATGAGCAGCAGTTAGTTTTGACTTCTTAGTCCAGTAAGAACAAGGAGAAACTCACACAGACTGCGGTCACCCACACTAAGCAATCCACTTTCCAACTGGATTTTACCGTGTGAGCTGAAAAAAATCCAGCTGAAAAGTACACCGAAAGTGGACTTACTTAGTGTGGGTGACCGCAGCCCAAGTTGCACTCCGTGCCAGCGCGACAACTGGGGCTCCATGATCATGACCATGTCAAACAATTACCTGCACGTGCTTCAAACAAAACCCAAAAGAAAAAGTTTCCAGAAACTAATTTTTAAAAACAAAAGCGTGTTCCCCGGTAGTCCCCCGCCCAATATTCGCAGTCAGCCTCGCAGGCGAGTCCTCAGAGGGCAAACCATGAAGCAATGAGGAACGGGCCGTGATTTTGGAGGAAGCGAAAAGAGCAGCACACCGGTGGCTGCCACATAACCGCGCTTCAGGACCGCAAAGGGGGGAATGAAGAACCGAGGAAAAGTGAGTGCGGGCGAGAGCCACCGCCGTGCGGGGGGCTAGAGAGGAGAAGGAAGCCAACTCAACTGACACGTCAGCCCCCGGGGAGAGGGCGGGAGAAGGGCAGCCCCCTTCCCCGAGACAGGCTCCGACGAGGAAGGGGAGCTCCTCTAGCGCGCTGCCAACCCACCAACCGACAACGGCACGCTCCGGGGACCGCTTCCATTTCAAAATTTTA